CCCAGGAAAATGTAAGAAAATATCAGCAGTGGAGGGGAAGACGAAATCCAGAAAATATCGAGACTGATGGGGAGTCCTGGGATTTGGGATCGTTTTCTTACGCATTGTTTTGCCGATCGGCGCGGACCCTTGCACCCCCTCCCCCTCCCCCCTCCCATGGTAGATTTTGTTTGCTTTCGCTCAAGAAGGTGGAGTCTCCCCCATAGGACGCACCACTGCAAACAGTCGCATGAAGCAGAGGACCAGAGCCAGACACCCCTCCTTTCCCCCCCCCCTCCCGCCGACAGTCCAATCGCCGAACAAGACAACTCACTGTTTGTGTGTCCCTGGGCCCCCTTGCCTTGTGCTCTTCGTGCCCTGGGCCTGCCCACTTCGGAGCGCCCGGCACGAGAACGCGCGGGGTACCCACCCGCTTGCGGGGCCTCGGGCCCTCGGCGGGGAGGCCGGCGGTCTTGACGCGCGTGCTCTCGGGAGGGAGCCAGAGACGCACAGGCGCACGGAGCGGTCGACTCCCAGGTGAGCGTATCTTGTTCCCTCCCCCGGGGATATCGCTCGCTGCCCAGGCCAAGCCCCCCCCCGGCCCCCCCCTCCCGATCGTACTGGAGGGGAGTGGCCTGGAGCCCCCCCTACATGCCGTGGTGCACGCAAGCGATTGATGCGCCAGTGGCGCGGGCGCACCCTGGCGGTTGCACGCTGCGGCCGCCATTACGGTCACCCCAGACCCCACCCTCTCCCCCGGGTAACGACCCGCAGCCGGGGTGGAAAAAACGGACACCAAGAGCGTGCGGTTTGTTTGTCTTGGGCATAATGGGCTTTGTAGCCCCCGGCGCACCCCCCCACCTATAACGTAAAGCTCCCCACCCCCGGGTGCGCCCCGGGCTTTGCCGCCGTGCGCATCGGGATCCGCATAGGCGTTCGTACAGGAATCCGCAGAGGGGTCTAGCCCGCAGTCGTCGTCGTCGTCGTCGTCGTCGTCGTCGTCGTCGTCGTCGTCGCTCGTCGCTCGTCGCTCGTCGCTCGTCCCTCGTCCCTCGTCGCTTGTTGCTCGTTGCTCGTTGCTCGTCGCTCATCGTCGTCGTGTTCGCGGAGTTGGCTGGAGCCTGTTCTTGATTCCGGGCCGATGACGGCCGTCATCTGGGAGGAGGAGGGGACCGATGACGTCTTTTTTCGCGCCGGCGACGTCTGGGGATGACCAGCAATGACCGAGGACGGGTTGCAGTAGCATGTAGGTGGCGATTTACATCACAGCGCCTGAGAACACCACGACCCTTGCATGCACCACAGCGCCTGCGTACACCACACCGCCTATGTACCACCACAGCAGCTGCGTGCAACACAGCGCAAGTGTGTGTCACAGTGTTTGCGTTCACCGCAGCGCTTGCGTACACCACAGCGCCTGCGTACGCCAGTCCAGCCGTGTGCAAAACAGCACCAGTGTACACCACAATGCCTGCGTGCACTACAGCGCCTGTGAACACCACGGCGCCTGCATGCTCCGCACCAACCGTGCGCAACAGAGCACCACTGTTGCACATAGAATGCTAGAAGGAAACCTCACGACAAATAGAGCGCCAACGGATTCCACAGACAATATTTGGTTTATACAGGATTCGGAAATGAATATGTCTGGAAAGTGGAAAGCCGCTGGAATCTACAAGTCCTCCCGAATCCTTCCGCAGTGTCCTAAGTCCTCCCATCTGCGTCCTGGAGGCTCCAGCAGAATTGGCGGTCCGAGAAGCAACTGGATTGATTCAGTAGACCATTCCGCGGTTCACGCTGAGATGCGCACGTGCGCTGTGGCGCCGACCCGCACGACAAGGGGGAAGGGTGACCGAGGAGGAGGAGGAGGAGGACGAGGAGGACGATAAGGAAATGGAGGGGGAGGTGGATGCAGAAGAGGAGGGAGGAGGGAATAAGGTCGCATTATATTACCAACACTTCCCTGGCGTGGTGTTCTGCTGTCCGCAGGAGATCCTCACCAACATGCTCCTTTTACCTGTTTTGGCCAGCGTTGCGTTGCACGCGGATGCTGTGGTGTAGACAGGCGCTGTGGTGTGCACGGGCGTTGCGGTGCACGCTAGCATTGTGGTGTACACAGGCGCTGTGTTGCACATGGTAGCTGCGGTGTGCACATTCGCCGTGGTGTACACCGGCGCCGTGGTGCATGCGAGCTGTGGTGTACACAGGCGCTGCGTTGCACACGGCTGTCGCGGTGGACGCATTCGCTGTGGTGTACACGCGCGTTGTGGTGCAGATCGCCACCTACATGCTTCTCGTAGTTGGCCCCGGTCATCCCTAGGCATTCCTGGAGGCCGCCAGCGCGGAACGTGACATCATCTCGGGGGAGGGGCGGGGCCGATGACTGCCACTATTCCGGAATGCATATATATATAGATAGATAGATAGATATACCGAAATACATCTATATATGTATGTATGCGTGTATGGATGTATGGATGGATGTATGGATGTATGGTGCCAGAGTCACACGGGAAGAGGGGGGGCGTTACGTTATACCCCCCCCCGCCCCACACCCCTATAACGCCCATGATCGCCGAAAATTCAGAAACGCGCTGCAGGAAAGCATAGGAACAGATGGGAAGCGGGGAGAGGACAAATATGAAGAACATACAAGAAAATATTGGGAATCCCACGATTTGTGCATTCATTTCCGTGTTCCTGGGCCCCTTCGATCTCGTGCCCATGCTTCGACTCGAAGAAGAGCAAAATTGCAGAAAGATAACCGAGATGGGTCTTGAATGATGGAGGGCCTTCCCGAAAATGGGAGAAATCACAACCACCTACAACGGATCCCAGCAATTCCGGTACCAATCCAAACCAATTGGTACCAATTACAACCGCTTTGGAAATTCCTTCGGATTTCCTTACAGTTTCCGTTGAGGCTCCGTAGAGGTTTCTCAAAGCTCCTCAGAGGCTCTGTAGAGGTTCCTTCGAGGCTCCTGGTTCCGTAGAGGCTCTTCGGGGGAACTTCAAAGATTTTGCAGAGATTTGCGACGGAGGTCTGAGGATGTGTGAGGATTCCGGAGGATTCATGAGGATTCCTTTGGATTTCTGAGAATTCCTGTAGGACTCCTGAGAATTTCTTAGGATTCACAAAGGATTCCTCTATGATTCCTGAGGATTCCTGAAGGCTTCTTGAGGAATTATCAGGGTTCCTGGAGGATTGTTCTGGATTCCTGATGGATTCCTGAAGCAATTCTGTGCGTTTCTGAAGGATTCCAGAAGAAATCCTGAAGGAGTCATGCGCGTTCCTCCTGAAGGATTCCAGAAGGACCCCTGCGGGTTCTGGATCGAAGATGCTGTTAAAGGTGTATGTGCGTGTTGTGTGTATGTGTTGTGGATAAATGTGGGTATGTTGGACATGTATATGTGTATATATGTACATGTGTATAGATAGTGCTTTGGGGTGGTACGTGTTGCTGGAAATTGTTAGTGAAAAGCAGCACAAGGCGCAGGTGCCCGAAATGCAGCTCGACTAACCAGGACATCCATGGTGACCCCCCAATCGAACGAGTATTGTTACAGGCCAGCCACAACTCGGGGAGCTGTGGTCCTTAGCCCCTGGGGGACCCATCGATTTCCACACCCCTCTCGAGAGGTCGTCGATGCGATGGGTTCCCCCAGGGGGGTAAGGACCACAGCTCCCCCAGTTATGGTTGGTCGGTGTTCAGATTGTCATGTTGTGCCTGAGTCGTGTTAGAATGCTGGACACATTACACCCGACTCTCGGCTCAAGATGGCTGGCCGCAATTGGTCCCAGTTGCTTCTCTTTGGCCAGTTCAGAAGTGGCAAATTCGGTTGTCAATGGTACCAGTTGGTTGGGGTTGGTCCGACACGCGGGCCCTCCCCCCTCTAAGCTTTCAAGCTTTTGGCTTGGAGTTGTCGTCTCCCCCCTCCTCGCCCCCCCCCCCATCCCCGCCCTCCTCCTCGCTCTCCCCCCCCTCGTCCTCCCCTCTTTGAGCTTTCGACGGTCCGCGCGGGTTTCTTGAATTTGCGGCGCCTCTGGCGCCGCCCTTGGCGCGCTCCGCGCGCCATGGAGGGGGCGTCCTGCGGATATCGAGAGTTTCAGTTTGTGCAGTTGTTTCGCCCTCCTTCGATACATCCCTCTGCTCTCCTGATCATTGCGTGCCAGACGTTTCTGGTCGCGACCGACGAGAACGGTCGCTACCGCTGTTGCTTCTAATTCTGGTGTCGGTCGCGACCGATTTGCTTCAACATCGGCCGCTACCGATTTGGAGTGTCGATCAGTCGCTAGCGGTTGCGACCGAGCAGTGGTATCCGATGACTTGGGTCTTTGGAGATTTCAAGGTCACCGCACTTCTTGTCGCTTCCCTTCGTTAGTCAGGAGGTGTCGGGGCTCAAGAGACGGGGGTCAATGCAAACGGGAGTCAGTCAGAGCGCCAGGTCTTGCAGGATCCTGCAGAGCCAGGGCTGCATTAACCCGGGCTTGCGTGCATGATCCGGTTCCTGCGGGATTTTGCAGGATTTTGCAAAGGCTGAATCACCCGGGTTTGGATTGACCCGGGTCAATCCCCGAGGGGGGAAAAAGGTACAGGTTTACATAGACGTCGATGCTCTAGGAAAATATGCGCAATGTTGGGAAGTGGAAGGGGAAGGCGAAATTTTTCCAAGCATGAACGAATATGGAAACTCTTGGGATTTGTGCCAATGTATTTGCGCGTCCTTGGGCCCCTGTGTCTGTCGCCGCCCTGTTTGGGCATCCCCCGAGGGGTGTCGCCGTCCTCGTCGTCCTCGTCGTCCTCGTTCTCGTCGTCCTCGCGGCCATCGTCGATGTCGTCGTCGTCGTCGTCGTCGTCGTCGTCGTCGTCGTCGTCGTCGTCGTCGTCTGTCGTCGTCGTAGTCGTCGTCTGTCGTCTGTCGTCGTCGTCGTCGTCGTCGTCTGTCGTCTTCGTCTGTCGTCGTCGTCGTCGTCGTCGCCGGGGCCGCCCGCGAGCGGGGGCTCCTCCCGCACGGGCCAGGCGGCGGCGCCCCGCCCCTGCCCCCGGGCTGGGAGCAGCTCCCGGACCCGGCCAGCGGCCGCCGCCGCCTCGGCTTCGGCGGCTCGAAGTTACCCACCGGTCGGCTGTAGCCCGAGTTGATGGGCCTGCTTTCCACCACCACCACCATACGTTGGAGGGGGGAGGGGGTCCTCCTCCTCCTCCTCCTCCTCCTCCTCCTCCTCCTCCTCCTCATCCTCCACCTCCATTCCCCCCTGCAACTTATGGTGGTGGTGGTGGTGGGAGACAGGCCCTTCACGACTCCACCGTTTCGGAGGTCCGCGCGGATTTGCTGGATCGGCGTTGGGGCCCCTTGGCGGCGCCTCCAGCGCCGCCACTACGCGCTCCGCGCGCCGGGTGTGGGGCCCAGCGCCGATCCAAGAAGTCCGCGCGTACCTCCGACAGGTTACCCATCGGTCGAGGACAGCACGTATTTTTGGACTCCCAGATTCTAGTGTATATATATATATATATATATATATAAATAAATAAATATATACATATATATCTATATACATATATATGTGTACAGATATCTTAAGCGCCTTCCTACTTCAACGAGCGAGTGGCTTCACCTTTTCCGACCTCCCCAGGGGCGGGCGGAAACCCAATCTTTTGCTCAACGCCTTCCCGCCTCGTGGCTCTGCCTGCTTCTCCCGACCGATGGGCATCGGCGGCGAGCGCGGGGGCATCGGCGGCGAGCGAGGCTCGTGCGACGGCAGCCTTGCGCGCGGGCTGCGACGGCAGCCCGTGCGCGGAGCTGCGGCGGGGGGGGCCCCCGTGCGGCTTCGGGGGCCCCGTGCGGCCATCAAAGGAGCAGCCCGGCGTCGAAGCGCAGACTCGCTAGGGCGCAGCGCAGTGCACCGAGCGCGCCCCGCGACTCGCAAACAGGTGCCTTAATGACTCGCGGTCGTTGAGAAGATACGGGTCTTCCACGAAGTCATGGATCCTGGATCCCACGCGGCGGGCCCAGGCCATGTGCGAGCAGCTTTTTTTTTGGCGAGCAGTGGAGCGCGCTTGCCTAGAAGTGCGGCACCCAGGGCGCCCCTGCCGTGCCTCCCTCAGCACGCAGGCGTGTGCCGTGGTCGGCGGCGAGCGAGGGGGCGGGCCTTCTCCGAAGGCTCGGAAGCCCCTGGGCCTTCTGGAGGTTTTCTAGGATGGGGATCCATGCCAAGAAGTGCCCTGCTTGCCTCCAGGGTGCCCTGGGTGTCTTGGGTTTCGATTGTCTTGCGATCGAGAGCGTGACGTTCCCGAAGCACAACACATCGATGGACGTCCTGGGGTCTCAGGGTTGGGTTGCTTGTGGAGGGTTTCTTGTGGTCGAGCTCCTGCTGACATTCTTTCCCGAAAACACAGAAAAGCTCTGAGAAGGCCCGAGGGCTCCTGTGAAGTCCCTCCGCCTTCTGAGAAGGCCCCCTCCTCATTTGCCCCCCCCCTCGCTCGCCGCCGATGTGGGGCAGAGTGGAGACCCATGCCAAGAAGCACCCGGCTCGCCTCCAGGGTGCCCTGGGTTGCTTGGGCTTCGATGGTCTTGCCGTGGAAGGCGTGGTGCCCCCACATCAAAAACATCGCTGGACGTCCTGGGGTCGCAGGATTTTTTTGGGGGGGTCCCGTGGAAGGTCTCTTGTGGACTCGCCTCCGCCGCCGTGTCCGCCGCCGTGTCCGCGTCGAGGGCGTGGCCCCTCGAGCACCGCCGCCCCCCCGGCCCCCACCTCTGCGCTGCCTCTCTCTCCGGCGGCGCCGCTGCGCCTCCTGTGCCGGGGCCGCTTGCCTCTCTGCGGCCACGCGCAGGGGGGCGGGTGGAGGGGTAAAACGACGCGAAGATCGGGACAAAATCGGATCGGGCTAACTCGAAATCTCTGAGAATCGGCGGGTTTGGAGGATGTATTGGGCGCCGCGGCCGCTCCAGAGCCTTCCGGAGCGCTCTGAGAGCGCTCCGGAACGCTCTGGAGCGATTCATCCCGATCCTATAGCCTGTTTTAAGGGGGGAGGGCTTCTTGGAAGCACCCCTGCTTCTCAGAGGGCGCGGGCCTGATCTGTAGATGTACGGCCAGCGCCTCCCTCCACCCCCCTGGTGTGCGCCGCCGAGGGGCGGGGAGCGGCCCCGAGAGGTTCGCACCCTGGCCCCTGCAAGGACCGGCGGCGAGCGAGGCGGGGAGGCCCCGGGGGCTGAGAGCGGAGGGGGGAGGGAGGGAGGGAGGAGGGGGGGAGGAGGGAGGAGGAGCAGGGAGAGGAGGAAGAGGAGGGAGGAGGGGAGGGGAGGGGGGGAGGGAGGAGGGGGGGGGGGGGAGGAGAGGGGGGGGAGGCCCTGTCAGAAGGCTCGGAAGCCCCCCGGCCTTCCGAGAAGTTTTTGGAAGCTCTCCCCGGAGACATAGGGAAAAAGACCTCTCGGACGGCCGGAGGGTCCCGCCGCCTCCGGAGGAGGCCTTCTCCTTCTCGTTTCCCCCCCTCGCTCGCCGCCAAAAGGAGGGAGTGGAGTGGTCAGCAGCTGATCGGTCCTGGTGAAGGGGTCGAGGGTCCTCACAAGGTCACGAGACCAGGGCCTCGCGCCACGGGGTCGCGGCTTCGGCGCCAACGGGGTCAGCCAAACCCCTCTGGCGGACCCAGGGTTGGGAGCCGCGTTCGAAGAACAAAACGCGACACACACACACACACACACACACACACACACACACACACACACACACACACACACACACACACACACACACACACACACACACACACACACACACACACACACACACACACACACACGTGCATTCGTTGGCGGTCCGCGCGGATTTCCTGGATCTGTGCCGGGGCCCCCCTCGAGTCCTCGACGGCCGACCCTCAGCCCCCGAGAGCCGTCGGAGGAGGCCGCGCTCCTCTCTGGGCGTCTTCTGCGTGTGAGTCCCCGAGGACTTCGCCGCGGGAGAGGGCTCTTTCGCGTTGGGCTGTTTTTACCCGCCTCGAACGTATCCCTATCTCTAAGATTGACACGCCAAAAGGCGATGAGAATCTTAGGGATTCGCCCTCAAAAAATAAGGGAATCCATAGGATTGGCATCGTGATGAGGTGCCCAGCATAGGGATAGGGATATGTTCCAGGCTGGTGATGTTTGGGCTCCCATGGGGCATGGCCCCCTTGTGTCCGGGAGGGCGGCGGGTTTGCTGAGCAGGAGTGCTCCGAGAAGTCCGGGCTCGGCCCCGAGCGAGGGCAGTCGGACGTGCCCACACGCCTGGCCCCCCTTGGGCATTGTCGAGCGCAAGCTTACAGTCGAGGCTGATTAGTAGGTCGACACTGCCAAGTCAAGGGTACCCTCGTGTCCTGTGCCTCGCGACCCATGCTTCTACATGCATACATGGCCATGCGGCCCTCGGAAGAGTCTTGTGTCCTCTCGCGTGTCCTCTTCAATCCACCCCGACTGAAACCCAGCTATCCCGCTCAACCGGGCTTAATCCCGTCCAATTCCCTTTTAATCCGCGGCCGAATCCGGCGTAGCAGCCACCCCAAATTGACCTTACTTCTCCCGAAACACTTCGACGAAGACCTCCCAGCGGTTGCCTCCTAAGACGCTCGTGCCAGATTCGGACGGGTGCCGGGGTCGCGGGCGGAGGGAGAGGGCCACCGAGATGCAGGTGGAGCCCCGAGGGGCGCGCCGCAGCCGAGGCCCCTATTTCTGCAACCGCTCCACCGGGGAGACCAGCTGGACGCCGCCGCCAGCACCCGCGGCTGGCGGGCCCCCAGGCCACCCGCTCGTGCTGTCTCTATCGCTCTCTGCCTCTCTGTCTCTCTCTCTCTCTCGGCGACGAGCGAGGGGGGGCAAGTGAGAAGGGGAAGGGGCGGGACTCTCCTCAGAAGGCTCGGAAGTCCCCCGGCCTGAGAAGTTTTCTGAGCGTTCCCCAGAGGCGCAGAGAATCTCTCAGAAGGCCCGGGGGCTTCTGAGAAGTCCCGCCTTCTTCCGAGAAGGCCTTCTCCTTCTCATTTGCCCCCCTCGCTTGCCACCGACTCTCGTCCTCTCGCAGAACAGGAGGAATACGACTACCACGAGTACTGCACGTTGCTGATGATATCAGGCTGCGCGAACACACAACTTGTTGGAGGTCCGCGTGGAATTTGGAGCTGCGCCCCCCTGGCAGCGCGGACCTCCGAAAGTTGCTGTACACTCCCGTTCTCTCTCTCTCTCTCTCTCTCTCCCTCCCTGTCGTTCTCTTTCTCTCTCTCTCTCGTTCTCTCTCTCTCTCTCTCTTCTGTTGCTCTCTCTCTCTCTCTCTCCCTCTCCAGGGGAGACCGCGAATGGATACCCTTGTGTTCTTCTTGCGTGGGTCGTCTTAAGCTGGATATCCTTTCCCTCTGGGTAATGTCCTCGACGGGGCATTGGGCTCTTGGCGAAAGGGCCCGTGCTCTTGACCCGCCTTCGCGTGCCCATGTTTTTTGATTGTAGTCCCCTCTTCCTCCCTCCTTGCCCTCCTCCCTCCCTCGTCCCCAGCGGCCGATTCCCGAGACGGGAATGCAGCAACAATGATCCGGGACCTGCGAGTTGGATCTGAGAACGCTGATACCTCAGTCTTGAATCCTGCCGCCGACTGAAATTATTTGTTCCAACTGGATCAACTGGATGATAAACTATCTTCTTTATTTTTCGGGGGTGGACGGGCCTCCTACCCTGCCACGTCGATTAGCGAATTGGCCGTTTTCGGTTCGCGAGAGGGCGCCGCGGCCGTCATTCTTGCGGGCCCAGGTCCGTCGGTTTCGTTCCCAGGCCGTTTTCACGAAATTGAGGTTTACTAAAGGGAGGTTTGTCCACCCCCTGAGTTGTGATGCTCCAACCTACGTTAGCCTTGACCACCAGAAATAATCTCGAGCGCCAGATAAAAGCACCGAAGCTCGAGGGTTTCCACGCGTCGGGCCCTGGGAGACGCTCGTCCGACACTGTTTCGACACTCTTTCGACACTCTTCTGGGTGCTCGGAATTATTTCTGGGGTGTGGTCCTGAAGTACGATGGGAGCAACATAACCCCTGAGCTGGTCTCGAATCTTCCCTGGCCTCCTCGCGCTGTGAGCAAAAATCACGACGGGAGGTTTTTCCTTCTTTTCGTTCCCCGGGGGCCCTTCTTCCCTGGCCTCGGGGCAGTCAACAAAACGACTCCAGACGACCAACTGGTCCCGGGGAAGGGGTCTGGGGGTCGACGTTGTGAAACAATCACGACGTCGGGGGTCTGGGTCACGTTCCCCCTCACATCTCGAGGGCTAGCTGGCCCCCGTCAGCGCAGACCCCCGCTGCCAGCAACCCCTGTGATGAGAAGCAGGTTCGCACCACGACACCACAGTGAGGTAGGCGTGAATTGATATTTGAGGCGTTCCGCAGAAAGGGTCTTGCCTTCAAGGATTGAAGGAGGTGACATATCTTCCCCGGCGGAAGGCGGCAGAAGGTCGGTGGAAAGCGGCGGGAGAAACACGAGGTCGCTTCCGCCGGCGGAAGCCATCGGCCCACCCAAGAGATGGCAACGTTTTTGGGTTCAGGGCGTCCGGAATCGGACACGGTGATTCTGGTGTTCTCTTAGTGGTGAACATTGCTTCCAGACCTACACATTCCGGTCGTTGAAAGTTAGTATATTTTTGATTCCCAGATGCCAATCTACTTCTAGCGCCTTCCTACTTCAGTAATGGATACGTTGAACGCAATATACTTGATCCGCCATGTTTTTTTCCTTTGTCTTCCGACCGTCGTGTAGACCTACCGTCAAGTCGGGCATGTCCCTCTACAGGAGGACTAATGAAACATAGTCTTTCAAACATTGTCAGGGGACTTTTTTATATGGAAAAATAGTTCCCATCATTTTCAAACATGTTTTGACTAATTTTATTGGTTCCTTCAAAGTCCGCTTGTAGGAGGACATCCCCGACCTAAACCTACCTGGACTGCCTAAGACCTCGACAGGAATCTAGACGTCAATGTCCTATGGTGTTATTTTTTAGCACTCCTGGAAGGTCACGGTCGCGCGCCCCCGCCCGCGCGCCAGGCGAGTCCTGCGGCCCCGGCCCTGGCGGCCCGGGAGGGGGGCAGGAAGGTAGGGGGGAAGGGAAGGAAGGAGGGAGGGAAGGAGGGGGGTTGAGGAGGAGGAGGAGGAGGAGGAGCAGGAGGAGGAGGAGGAGATGGAGCAGGAGGAGGAGGAGGATCAGGAGGAGCAGGAGGAGCAGGAGGAGCAGGAGGAGCAGGAGGAGAGGAGTGAGGGCAGAGGAGGAGGAGGAGGAGGAGGAGGAGGAGGAGAGAAGAGGAGAGAAGGAGGAATGAGGAGGGAGGCGGAGGAGGAAGGGGAGGAGGAGGAGAGAGGGAGGAGGAGGGAGGAGAGCAGGAGAGCAGGAGGAGGAGGAGCAGGAGGAGCAGGAGAAGGAGGAGGAGGAGGGAGAGGAGGAGGAGGAAGAGGAGAGGAGTAGGAGAGGAGCAGGAGGAGGAGAAGAAGGAGGGAGGAGGAGGAGCAGGAGGAGCAGGAGGAGCAGGAGGAGCAGGAGAAGGAGGAGCAGGAGAAGGAGAAGGAGGATGAGGAGGAGGAGGGGAGGTAGGAGGGTAAAGGAAATCTTAGGGGGCAGCCGCTCGCCCCGCCCGCGCGCCGCAGGCGCGCCTGCGGCCCCGGCCCCCGGCGGCCCGGGCCCCTACGCCGGCGGCCGGGGCCGGCCCGGCGGCCCCGGCGGCGCGCCGATGGGGCCGGGCGGCGGCGCCCCCCGCTGCCGCAGCGGCTCCGCCACCGTTCGAAGGAGAAAACACGCAATGTAAAAGAAACCTCCTCCGCCTCCTCCTCCTCCTCCTCCTCCTCCTCCTCCTCCCCATCCCTCCTCCTCCTCCTCCCTCCTCCTCCTCTCCTCCTGCTCCTCCTGCTCCTCCTCCTCCTCCTCCTCATCCTCCTCCTCCTCCTCCTTCCTCCCCCCCTGTGCCCTCCTCCTCCACCTCCTCCTCCTCCTCCTCCACCCCTCCTCCACCTCATCCTCTTCCTCCTCCCTCCTCCTCCTCCTCCTCCTCCTCCTCCTCCTCCTCCTCCCCATCCCCCCCCTCCTCCTCCTCCTCCTCCTCCTCCTCCTCGGACTCGGCCTTCGACCTCAACATCGAGACGGAGATCTCTGCGGCGCTCGGGGAGTACACGCTCACGGTGCTCATGGACGCTTGGAAGTTTTGCGAGGCGTTCGTCCCCACGGCGCTGCCGGCGGAGGCGCGGGAGCTGGGGATGCCGCTGCGCCTCGTCTGGATGCTGTTGGAGCTCTATCGGCAGCCGAGGAGGCTATGCGCGGTCGGTTCGATCTCGTACGATGTGATCGCGTGGCAGGGGGTGCTGGCGGGCTGCACGCACGCCTGCGCGATGGTCTCGCTCCTGCTCCAAAGGCTGCTGCAGCGAATTCGCTGCTTCGGCGTTGTGCCCAGAGCGCTGATCGACGATGTCACCCTGCACATGGCGGACTCCTGGGTGCCTGCCCTGGACAAGCTGTGGGCTGCGGTCACCAGGTTGCGAGAGGGCGCCCGCAAGCTCGGCATCATCATCCAGATGGGGAAGTCTGGCTATGTCACCCCGTCCGCGGCCATCGCGCAGCGCTGTCGGCAGCACGGCGGAGCGCGAGGCCTCAAGGGCAGGCACTGGGTCAGGAACTTGGGGCACGACCTTTGCGGCCGTCGCAAGGAGCGGCGCCAGACCGCCGAGAGGATTAAGGCACTGGCTGCGTGCAGGGGCAGGCTATTGCTTTTCAAGAAGGCGGTGGGCAGAAGGGCCGCCTGCCTCTGGAAGACGGGGCTCCTCCCCAGCGCCGCGCACGGAGCTGGAGTGTCAGGGACCACCGACTTCGCGCTCAGCAAGCTCAGGAGCGAGGCGGGCATGCTCGTCAAGGCCATGCCTGGGCCCTCGAGCGTCACGGCCTTCCTGGCTACGCAGAGGGCCAATAAGTTCGATCCCATATACGCGGCGACCTGTGACCTGGTCTGCCGCTACGCTAGCTGGGTGTAGGAGCAGCGCACCTTGCTCGCGCGCCTGCACCATGCCTGGGCCGAGGCTACGGCCAGGCTGGTGCCTTCCCTCTGCTGGGCGCAAGCACGCGGGCCCATCGCGTCCACGGTCCTCACGCTGTGGCGCATTGGCTGGTGCATGTATTCGTCCACGGTGCTCGTCACGGACGAGGAGGACCACATCAACCTCTTGGCGGAGTCGCCCAAGGACGCCAGGCTGCACCTGGCCATGGACATCCCGCGGTGGCAAGGGCGGCAGATCCTCCAGGACTACCCGCAGTGCGACCAGCAGGCCAAGCTGTGGCGAGGGCAATGAGGCTCTGCGTTGGCGGTCCCAAGGCCGTGGTCGCCAATGGCCCAGGGGCCATGAGCCTGCGCGCCCACTGGGCAGGGGTGCCTTGGACCAGACAGGCGCAGTTCGATGCGGAGCTGGCCACCTCGTCCGAGTGCGCCGCATGCGGGGCGGAGTCGGACACCCCTGGGCAGCGCTTCTTCGGTTGCGAGACCCTCCTGGAGCCAGAGTTCCTGGGCGAGGAGAAGGGCGAGGTACTCCCCGAGAGGCGCACCGTGGCCTGGGCCCTCATGCGCGACCAGGGCCTCAAGATGGGCCGCAGGCGTGGGGCGAGTTCGCGCTGTCGACCTGCCTCCTATGCACGCCACCGAGCGCGCCGCCTGCGGAGCACACCGCGAAGGTGTGCTACTGGGCGACTGGAGCGCCGACCCTGGCACGACGCGCGAGGGCAACGTCGTCTTCGCGGACGGCTCGGGCTCGGCCTCGTCGATGCCCGAGCTGCGGCGCTGCGGCTGGGCAGCGGTGCGTGTCTCGACGCGGGGCCTGCCAGTGCGCGCCGCGTGCGGGCCTTTGCTGGGCCACCCTCCAGACGGTGGGGCGCGCGGAGAGGCGCGCCCTGATGCAGGCGCTGCTGGCCCTCTCGCCGCAGCTTGGCGGGCCCGCAGTCGACGTCGTCTTCGCGGACCTGTCGGGGCCCGCCGAGGAGGCGGCCTCCTGGGGCGCGGCGCTCGAGCAGGCCGTCGCGACGCACGCCGCGGTCTGGCGGCGCCTGCGCGCGCAGCCTGCGCGGCCTGCGGCGCGTTGGATCCCCGCGCGCACTGAGCTTGAGCAGTTCCAGGAGTGCGGGCTGCGCCCCCTCCTCTTCACGGGGTACATGTGGGCGGACCTCTTCGCGAAGGCAGGGGCCAGGGCCCGCGCTGTCTTGCAGGGCTACGCGGACTTCTACGGGGCCGAGATCGAGTGCCACAAGCAGGTCGCGGCCTACATCGCGTGGGAAATGCTGCGCATGCTGAAGGTCCCGAGCTGGCAGATGACGGACTCGGCAGCGCGCCCCTGCAAGGGGCCCCCGAGCGCGCCGCCCGTGGCGGTGGTGCAACGCCAATTGGTCCTCCTGCGTGGCGGCAGGGTCGCGCTGTGTCGGCGGTGCTGCAGATCCACGGCGCCCACCCGAGGTCCGTCGCGGGCGCAGTGCCTACGCTCTCCATGCAACGAGAGTGGTGGCGAAGCTCAAGGCGGACGCCATTATCCAGCACGCGGGGGCGACGTGGTCCCAGGTGTCAGAGGAGGGCCCATTCGCCGCGGCGGCGCTGGACGCGTCCCGGGAGCTGCCAGGCCCAGGCGACCTGGCCGAGGCCCCGTCGACGCTCTGGGCCCTGGGCGACGCGGCGGTGGACGTGCAGGGCCACCGCTTGCGCAGGGCAGGCCCCGCCATCGTTTGCGAGGTGTGCTCGGTCTGGTCGGGCAGCGGCACGTCGAGAGCGCTGCTGGGGCCGTGCCGAGGCATGCCCACTGGCGAGGGTCGTGATGCGCGGACCTACCCGCCCAACCTGAGGTCGCGGCTTCGGAGGCTGGAGGCAGGCGGGCACCCGAAAAAGCGGAGAGTCCGTTGCCTGGCGGGGAGTTGTTGGCTGAAGCGTGGGTCGGGGCAGAGTCTGGCGCATGCCTCGAAATCGTGCCACCTGGAGGGGCGGAATGCGCCAGCCGGAATATGCTCCTCGTCGTGTTTTGCAGTTGCGAGTCGCTCTTCGGTCTCGAGGTGTTGTGGGCGATTGGCCGCGGCACTGTCAGCTGGTGTCTGGTCGGCCGACGGTCAGCATGCCCTGGCGGTGGCGCGCTGGCCCGCAGGCGGTGCGCGGGAGAGGAGGCGGCCTGCGAGGAGTGGCCAGGTCCCCGCCGCCCGCGAGGAGTGCAGGGGGAGAGCTCCCATTCCAGGCGGGCCGCACCGCGGCCGCGGCCTGATGCCGCTCTGGCCATCCTGGGAAGAGCGAGGCGGCGTGCGCCGTGCAGGTTGGCGACTTCGGCGACCTGATGCCTCTCTGAGGCCGCCCGTTCGGGCATCGCGAGCGTCTCTCGGGCCCCCGTCGGATGCCTCTGGCCGTCATCTCCCGTCATCTCCTCCTCCTCCTCCTCCTCCTCCTCATCATCATCATCATCATCATCATCATCATTATCATCATCATCATCATCATCATCCGCCTCCTTCTCCTCCTGCCCCTCCTCCTCCTCCTCCTCCTTCGCCTTCTCCTGCTCCTCCTCTTCCGCCCTGGCGTTCCAGAGTGCTAAAGCATAGCCCTCCAGACTTGTAGACCTTTTCGCCCTCCTGGAAAGTCAAGGTCTTGGATCCACGCTGGGCCTCCCTGGCGGCGCCTCCGGCGCCGCCCCTGGCGCGTTCCGCTTGCCAGGGGTGGGGACCTGCGCAGATCCAAGAAACCTGCGCAGAACGCCCGAGTGTTTTGCTTAGCTATGGCGTTCGGTCTTCTTCTCGCCCCCGTGCGCGCTTCCCTCCGAGCTGCGGCTCGAGGCGCGACCCCAGAGAGCCAACGCATGGAAAGCAACAGCGCGAAAGTTTCTGGGCCTGATGGTCCACTGGGCCCCCCGCCCCGCCCGGGAGCGCGTGGTCTCGCATCGTGGGCCTGCCGCCGATCTGTCGGCGCTGTACTGCTGACTCAAGCTCGATGGTACCGCCCGGAAACCCAGACCCCTTCGCGCTATGAAAACATCACGACGGGAGGTTGTTCGCCCTTCTCGGCCTCTGGGGGCCCTCGCCAGGCTTCGGGACCGTCACAAAACAATTCGGGATGAGAAACCGGTCCCCGGAAAGGGGCCTATCGCCAATTTGTCGTCCTTGTATTTCGGCAGCAAATCATGATAGCCTTGTGTACCCTGGTAATGATGTCTTTAGCGTCGACTAGTATCGATGGACTTCTGGAAGTCGATGAACTAGCGCCGATTCAGCTTCGGCTAGCGGCGATTTAGCGCCGATGGGCATCGATTTAGAGTTGCCACAAGCTGGATGTAGCCCCCCCGAAAGTGACTGACACTTCATCTTGCAGCCGTTGGGAACGGTTCAAGGGAATGCGCGCGGCCCTGAGGCGAGAAAGCCGCATTGTGGGAAGCCTCTGGTCCTCCATCTGCGCAGCTGTTGGACAATGTTTGAAAATCATGCGCGCGGAGTTATGACGAGAGCCGCCGTAAACAGAAGGCACGCCCCCATCATTTTCTATACGGCTGGAGGGTTTGAGGGGCTTCGGTGTAATGCGTTGTCTCCGGCGAAACGCTCGGCCCGCCCTGCCGTCACGCCTCGGGGTGCGACAGGGAGGAGTTATTTGTAAGGAAAAATGTCTGGAGGAGGAGGAGGAGGAGAGGCGAGGAAGTGGACGAGGAGGAGAAGGAACAGTATTACAGACAGCAAGTCCGCAGCTCGAAGGCTCGAAGGAGGAGGAGGAGGAGAACGATGAGAAGGAGGAGGAGGAAGGGGACGGCGGGAGGTGGAACGAGGAGGAGGAGGAAGAGGAGGAGGAGGAAGAGGAAGAGGAGGAGGAGGGCCAGTGTAAGCCCAAGAGGCATCAACGATGTTGGAATACACCCTCCGTCCAAGCTCCCTCGTCATAGGCCCCTACAACGGTTCATTTTTACTGAGGGGATTGGTTCGTTGGAAGACAATTGTTTGAAGGCCCTGAAGCATGCCAAAACATTGTCCTCGGGATTCCAACGCCTCGGATCAACCTGACTGCTGCGTCTTGGCGATCCGAATCGTGTCAGAACGCCATTCCTGGGACTTGAACACCGCGAAACAACATAGCTTGTCCACCCTCATAAGCCTGAGTCGTTCCAAAACGCTATCTCTGGTACGTTGATCATGGGAATCCGTGAAACTCTGCAGATGTTTGAGACGAATGTGCGCGGCGCTACGGCGAGAGCCACATTTTGAAAACGACTCGCCCTCAATCCGTAAAACTACGGCAAATGTTTGAGACGACTGTGCGCGGCGCTAAGGCGACAGCCACATTCTGAAAACCACCCACCCTCAATCCGTGAAACCATTGCAAATGTTTGAAAATTGTGCGCGGCGCTAAGGCGAGAGCCACGTTTTGAAAACCACCCGCCCTCCATCTGTGAAGCTGTTGCCAATGTTTAAGAAGCTTCAGAGTAATACATGGTGAGGAAGCCTCAGGCGAAACGCCGGGCCCGTCCTAAAAACTGGCTTCCAGGTGCGACAGGGAGAAGTTAAAGGAGGAGGAGGAGGAGGAGGAGCAGGAGGAGGAGGAGCAGGAATGGAGGAGGAATGGAGGAGGGAGGATGGAGGAGGAGGGAGGAGGAGAGGAGGAGGAAGAGGAGGAGAGGAGGGAGGGAGGAGGAGGAGGAGGAGGAGGAGGAGGAGGAGGAGAAGGAGGAGGAGGGGGAGGAGGAGGAGGCAGGAGCAGGAGCAGGAGGAGGAGAGGAGGAGGAGGAGAGGAGAGGAGGAGGAGGAGAGGAGGAGGAGGAGGAGGAGGAGGAGGAGGAGGAGGAGGAGAAGGGGTGCCCGGCCCTCCCGCCCCCGCTCCCGGCAGGGCTGGGAGACGGCCAGCGACCCCGCGAGCGGCAAGCCGTATTACTTCAACCGGGCCACTGGCGGGGCACGGGCCGAGGGCCCCCGGGGGGGCGCGGGCTCCGGGAGGGCCAGGAGCAACGGTAGTCGGGGTACGTTTGGGTATTTTTTAAGTTTTTCGTCCAGAACGCCACTGTAGGGGGACACGCCCGACTTAAGCTTGATCGTTTGTCGCCCCTGTTGAGCGTTCAGGGGGACGCCGTGGCCGCGGACGGGTGCGCCCCGAAGTGCTGGCCCGATGGCACCCTGGAGTATGTCTGGGGGTCGAGTTCTCTTCCCGGGCTGGACGAAAGGGGGGGATAGGGAAAGGGGGGGTTACAAGATTTGCTGCATGCAGCTGGTTTCGGCCCCGCCGAGGGGCCCATGCCTCGATACATATAGTCGCCTCCGGCGCCGGGAGGCGCCAGGAAAATCAGCTACTTGAGCTGATTCCCAAACCCACCCTTTGCTATCCTCCCCTTTCGCCCGACCCGAGATAGGCTGAAGTCGGGCGTGTCCCTCTACAGGGGGAATGGTCAAAACTAGTCAAGCAAATTGTCTGGGGACGATGTGTTGACAATTGTTGGGCACTTTCGGGGGGCTATGTTTGGAGTATTTTTTTGTTTTTCGCCCTTCAGGTCCCCCTGCAGGGGGACACGCCCGACTTAACCATAGGGTCGGGAGGTTCGGACATCTCGAGTTTCGGGTGCCCTCGCCGGGGGCCATCCGGGAGCCCTCGCCGGGCCCCGTGCCTGTCAAGAATCGGCGCGGGATGCCAGGCAGGTCCCGGGGACGAGGTCCAGACCTCTGGGCGTCGGCGCTGTGCAAGAATCACGGCGTCGGGGTCGGGCGGGCGGGAGGCTCGGGTTCGAGGCTCGAGGGTTCTGGGCGTGTGCGTCGGTTCTCGGCAGTTTCCCAGTTTCGGTGGTGCCTTCGGCACTTGCGGCTCGCCGAGCGGGTTCCCGGGGATGTCTGGATCGTGCCGAGCGGCCGCTGGAGATTGAAGCTATGAGAAACCACCGGGGGATTCGGCTCAGGGGGGTCGCATCGACCCCCAATCGCCCATTCTTCTTCGACGGCGGCTCGGTGGCCCCAAACCCCTGCCCAGGAGCGTGCGGATTCGCCGTCGGATGCCTCCTGCCTATCAATCGGCGATGTATCGCGTCGGTGCCAGCTCGATGCTCCCCGCCCCTGAGCTAGTCCCCCCTATCGTTGCATCTCAAAATGAGGGGAGGGGGAGTTTTCGAAAGTGTGCGGCAGTTTTTCAACCAGTTACGGAGCCCAGGGTGGTTTCCATCAGCTGCGCCTCGTCGAGAGGTCTCCAGGGGTACCAGAATCATCCCGAGCGGCCGCCAGAGAGCCAAGTTATTGCCGAAAACCACGGGGCAGCGTTGTGACTGGAGAGGACGGTCGGACGTTGATATAATTGGTGCAATCGAAATTGGCGGGTACGGAACAATTGGGACGAATATTGGCAGCAGTTGATTCTGAGCAGGACGCGTTGTCGGCGTCGCCGCGGGCGTTGTCCATCTGAGGCAGAACGGCGCTTGCCCAACCGCGGCTGTTGTTGGTTCTGGACAACATTGGTGGCTGGCTGGCATCGTACCCATTCTGTCCTTACCCAGTCCAGGTGTGCCAAACAGAGCCCCCCACCCTGCCACGTCGACTAGCGATTTGCCCTCGTGCTGCGGCCGTGACGTTTGAGGGACTGCGCACGCCGGGTCCGGGGCCAGGTCGTTGTCACTAGAAAGGGTGTCTTGCCAACGGGGCTGGTGAGGGCGGCTCAGAAGATCGAGGGAGACACCACGGCATAAGCATCTGTTGTCGCAGGCACTCGCGGACTTCTTGGCTCGGCGTGGGGCCCAGACGGCGGCGCCTCTGGCGGCGCCCCTGGCGCGCTCCGCGCGCCAGCAAGCGGCGTCCAGCACCGATCCAAGAAGACTGCGCGGACCTCTGACAGTTTCTGTTACTGCTGTGTATTCTTCTGCGGATAGGACGGCTCAGAAGAGGAAGAGGCTCTAACCGACACCGCTACCCTTCTCGCAGGAGGCTCGGATCGTCTACGTCGGCCCGCACTCGGGCTCCCCGGCGTTCCCTAGCTATCGGATGGCGTGGGGCTCATGCTGTGACGTTTGCGCGTCTGCCTGCCGCGAGCCCCGTCACATATGAGTGGGGACCCGTAGACCGCTAGACACGCAGGAACATCGCACCGTGTGTTGGTTTCTCCGCGCTTCGTGCTGTTCCAGCAGGCTGTGCTAATCTTGATATCGGCGCTAAAGATGTTGAGCAGAAAGAGAGAGAGAGAGAGACAGAGAGAGAGATAAAGAGAGAGAGAGAGAGAGGTAGAGAGAGAGAGAGAGAGAAAGTGAGAGAGAGATGGAGCCCTTCCCTCGTCGCCACGGCTGGATTCGCCTCGAAATCCTGGACAGCGAGTGCCCCTGGAGAGCTCTGCAGGGCTGCGGTGTCGGTATCTCTACAGTCGGGGCGCTGAAGAAGGAACCCTTTTCGTTGTGGAGAGGCTCCGTGTTCCTTAATTGTTTCACAGCTTGCCTCAGGGTTTCCTTATGTTTTCGATGAGAAATCGAAGGTTAACTTATGGAACAAAGGGGCCTCGTTCGTTATTTAGGGTTCCTTGGGTCTACGCCCCGACTGTATGCCCCCCCCCATCGACGAGACCGTGACATCCTCTCTTCGCGAAGACTGACGACGGAAGGCGCTTGGCGGTTTTCGGTCTCTGGGGGGCCTTCACCAGGCCCCAGGACCGTAGATGAAGCAAATTATTCATGGTACAGTGAAGACCCATGCCGAGAAACACCCTGCTTGCCTCCAGGGTGCCCTGGGTGTCTTGGATTTCGATGGGTTTGCTCTGGAAATCGTGTCGCTTCCACACCAAAGATCCATGGACGTCCTGGGGTCTCAGGGTTGGGTTCCTTGTGGAAGGTTTCTTGTGGTCGAGCTCCTGTTGTAGCACGATGGTAAGCATCAACGCTAGGAGGTCCGCCAGGGAGTTCCAGCACTCCGCCGGGCTGGCGATCATCCTCCTCGCCTCCCAGCGTCACTCCAATGTGCTCATGATGCGTGTGCGCCGTCCCCACAGGTTCGACGCGCGCGCGCCGAGAAATCTGAAAGTAAATGCTTCGTGGCCGGCGATTTCTGGCCGCACCGCTCCGGAATCGATATACTGCACGATGCTTTGCGAGAAGTCGGTCCGACGTCCGCCTCCAAGGAGGACACCTGGAGCTAGTGCGTCGTTGCGCGTCCTATGGATAGCCCGGGGGTCTGTCGCGAACAGCAGGGGCAAGATCGACTGCACGTAGGAGTGACCCTTCGCCGGAGTGATTTTTGGTGCGGGCCAACTTGGGTCCGCCGATCGCCGAACGCGAGGCGGCCGTGGCGACTTGCGCGTTTGTGGGAACAAACAATGACATGAACATGAAAACTCTGAGGTCCGGGCGGATTTCTCAGATCGGCGCTCGACCCCCTCAAGGGCGGCGCCGGAGGCGCCGCCAGGGGGCCCCAGCGCCGATCCGAGAAATCCGCGCGGACCTCCGAGTTTTGATGTTTATGTCATTGTTCGTTACCCCATCTTTGGTCCTCCCGCGGCCCCCAACAAGCCGCGCACCAAGGGTCACTCTTGCCCGGGGTCGCCCTTGCGTGTAGCCGGCAAGAAGGGAGCACTCTCCGACTCTCCTGCCTGCCCTCGGCCCTGGCATGGCATCGCTTGGACGTGTGCATTCTTCCTTCGGCGAGGACCATCGAGGAGCATCCTTGATCAGTTGGCGAAAAAGCCACGCACGAAACCGAAAAAGCACAGGGAATGGACGTCCGAGCGATGGCCAGCCGGGGGTGCGCCTCCTGCGCTAGCGCGCCTGGGAAGGGTGTGGGCGGCCCCGGCCGCTCGAGGGGGGGGTGTCGGCGGCTGCCTCGTTTCGATTCCTCCGATTCGATTCGGCCTCGAATTCGGGTACGGAGTCCGATCTCTCAATGGATGCCTACGAACTTGCCGATTGCCGCCGATGCGACTTCTCCCGACTCGGCGGGCGGTTTCCTGCCGATCCGATTCGTTTCGATCGCCGATCCGACTCATCGATTCGATTCTGGGCTCTCCTAGCCTCCAGCCTTTGCGCCAAGCTGGGAAAACGCACAGTGCGCAGCACGATTCGTTGATCGCGCTCGTGGGGCGAGAGCGGCGCTGCTCTCTTCTGCATCATCGCTCCCCCAACCGCTGCCCCGTCCCCGCTTGTCCTTTTCCGTGTCTCCCTGCCCATCGTCTTCCCCATGCCTTTGTACGGTTGGCGTCGTAAAGGTATTTAGCGTGCGACGCTGCGCCGCCGCCCCGCTCATTACACGCCTGTCCCCCACCCTGGGGATAATTCAGTCAGCGTGCACCGAAGAAGTCCTGGCAGGGGGGTGGGCGTGCGCAGAGGGGGCCCTCGCTGGGGGATCGCCCCACAGAGATAGCGTGTGCTTCGCACATGTGTGTTGCACGTTTGTTGTTTCCAACGCAAGCCGTAAGTATCTCCCCCTCCCCGCGATCCCCTCCCCCTTTCTGTCGTCTCCTCTCTTCCCTCCAATGCCTCCTGCATGGCGTCCAGCCTGGGACGCTAGCAGGCGTGAGGGAGGTGAGACGCGCTGGGAACCACCTCGCTGAAATGTTTACCTTCAGGAGTGGGACTATGACTATACGATTCGGAGCGGTATGAAAATAGCTTGCTGACAGGATGTTTCCACGGAGCGGCGTGCGTGTTGTTGTCGCTAATTGGTGTCATTCCCCGAAGTCACCTCTAAGGGCATGGTTGTCCCATGTCCAGCTTGTCTTAGTTTTGTCAGTCTGCCTGCCGACGTCTGCCTTCACTGTGTGCATGACAACGCGTGGGGAACCGGAGAAATTCGAACGGACTGAAGTAGAGATGAGTCGGTCTATGGGGCTGGTGGGTGCCCTCAACTGAAGGTGGCACACATTGTGTGATCGAGGCGTTTGACGGATCAGAATCAGGGAGGAAAGTTTGCGATGCGTTTCTTGTAGGAGCGTGTTGGATGGGATACATTTTGCCTGAAAGTGTGGCAGGCGCATTTCGTCAGGTGGTCTTACCATTTTCTCACTCGCCGGATACTGTCGACCCCGTGCGCAGCAGGAGAACGCACCCCATCGCCCACCGCGTTCGGCTCAGTCTTGGGAGATGTATCTCGAATTCTGTGTATCTATGTATACATATGGAGAGAGAGAGAGAGAGAAAGAAAGAAAGAGAGAGAGAGAGAGACAGAGGGAGAGAGGGTCAGAGAGAGAGAGAGATGCAGAGAAAGAGAGAGAGAGAGAGAGACAGACAAACAAAAAGAGGAAAATGGGGGAGTCCTGTCGCGTTCGGCGCACCATTCCAGACGCGCACGCTCCTGCGCTGCCCACCCTCCGTGCAGCTTTGCCCCTGACCCCTCGCAGCAGCCGGGCCCCCTCTTCTTCCTGCGGGCTGGCGCGCCGCCTCCGCGTGCTCTGGCTCTCGCCGTGGGCGGCCCCTCGAGCAGCGCCGTGGGAGTGCACGCCCCCTCGGCTGGGGTCGTGGCTGCCTCAGCCCTCCCTGAAGCATCCGAGCAACTAAGCGCTGCATGCGCATAAGTGATTCCAGCGAGCGAAGAACGGTATAAAAGTAAACTTCTTCGCTGTCGGGGGCGCCTGTCCCTGGGCGGCTGGAAAGCTTATACCCCTACGGTGCCAAGGTAAGGGTATAAACTTTCCAGCCGCCCAGGGACAGGCGCCCCCGACAGCGAAAAACATATATGTTATACCGTTCCTCGCCCGTTAAGTATTTGAGGCCCGCGCCCAGTTCTTTCGAGCAGCGGCGGCGCGCCCCGGCCGGCCTATAGGCCCACGAGGAGGATGTTCTAGGAACCTTATGTGGCCTGCACGAGCTGTTCTCGGAACACTGTTTGTTAAGACTGCCCGGCTTCAACACGGGGGGCTTACGTTCTGAGAAAATGGTTGTTGTGTTTAGAACATTGTGCGGGGGTTCGAAGAACACTTCGTGGTAGGCCTATAGGAATCATGGGACGGTCGGCCCCTGCTCAACGGAGGTTCGACAAGACGTAAGAGTGACCTTTCGCCGGAGTGACCTTTGGTGCGGGCACAGATGGGTCCTCAGATGGCTGAAAACGAAGCGGTAGCAGCGGCTTGCGCGCCCAGGTTTGGTCTCCTCGCGGCCCCAAAAAAGCCGCGCAGCAAAGGTCACTCTTACCCAGGGTCACTCTTGCGTGTAGCCGAGGAGGTCCGCGCTCACTTCCTGGACCAGCGCGGGCCCCCCCCCCCGCAGGCGCCTCCAGCGGCCGCCCGTCCCGCGCGCTGGGGAGGGGAGTCCAGCGCCGACTCACGAAGTCCGCGCGGAGCTCTGAGAGATTGTGTTCGTGCAGTTTAGGGAACCGAACTCTAAACACCGACGCCTGTGCCTGGCCTCACACTGAATCTCGCACAGGAAAGCGGATCCTGGTGTATACGGGATTATGGTGTGTACATTCTTTGTTGTTTCCCCCGGAAAACGGGGAAACAAGTATACACCACACCACCCCGATGCCGTCCCCAACCCTCAAAAAGTCCTGGAATTAAAAAACCGCCCGCCCTTGGTAATGTATATGCTCCAATTTCCGACAATTCTCGTCTTGGTCTAGCGATTCGAAATAACCGTTCCCTCATGGGAGCCTGGTGTGCCCTCTTAATATTCCGTCTTCAGCACCGACCAGCTTCGGTTAGCTTCTGGGAGTCGGTGAGATAGCGCAGCTTTAGCGTCGATTGGCCTCGATTCGCAAGAGCCGACAACGCGGTGTGGGAGGCTCCCATGAGTTGCCACCGAGTCATGACTCGTTACGAGGAAAATCCTGGAGGCCTCGCGCGGCGCTTCATAGTAGTATGATCTGGTCCATTTGTCAGTTCCGTAATCTATGGGTCGACGCTCGCGCGGCAATGTTCCGGAGTAAATCCGACGCAAACCCGACGTAATCCGACGTGAACCCGACGTAAATCCGACGTGGATCCGACGTAAATCGGGTCTCAAGTTGCCGCGCAAGGCCTCCAGGAGTTTCCTCACAAGACTCGAAACGACCCCTCGATGACTAGCTCGAAGAGCCACCTGCTTCCTTGCATCCTTGCATCCTTGCTTCCTGGGTCCATCCTTGGACACTCTCGTTGGCCGCGCCCCGCTCGAAGCGCTTCGAAGTGGGCGCCCAAGGGCCTTGCATCCTTATCGCGCATCCTTACTCTGCGGGTTGGCTGTAGCTCGAACAGCCACCTGGCCCCAGCGGGACGTAAATCCGACGTGGATCCGACGGAAATCAGGTCTCAAGTTGCCGCGCGAGGCCTCCAGGATTTTCCTCATAAGACTCGAAACGACCCTTCGATGACTAGCTCGAAGAGCCACCTGCTTCCGTGCATCCTTGCATCCTTGCTTCCTGGGTCCATCCTTGGACACTCTCGTTGGCCGCGCCCCGCTCGAAGCGCTTCGAAGTGGGCGCCCAAGGGCCTTGCATCCTTATCGCGCATCCTTACTCTGCGGGTTGGCTGTAGCTCGAACAGCCACCTGGCCCCAGCGGGACGTAAATCCGACGTGGACCCGACGTAGCGGACGTGGATCCGACGTCGATCCGACGTCGATCCGACGCAGATCCGACGTAGATCCGACGTAACCGGCGTAAATCCGACGTGGATCCGACGTAGATCCGACGTGGATCCGACGTAACGGACGTAAATCCGACGTGGATCCGACGTAGATCCGACTTGGATCCGACGTAGATCCGACGTGGATCCGACGTAACGGACGTAAATCCGACGTAGATCCGACGTAGATCCGACGTGGATCCGACGTTGATCCGACGTAAATCCTTGCTCTGCGGGTTGACTGTAGCTTGAACAGCCACGGGGCCCCAGCGGGGCGGCCTCTCGAGGTGGGCCCGGACGGGCCCCGCGCGATGCGAGGCCGGCCGCCTCGCCGTCGTGCGAGCCGCCGGGGTGTCTTTGCCGCCCTCGTCGCCCTCGTGCGGGCGGCCTCGAGGCGCCGCCAGGGACTCCTCCTCCTCCTCCTCCTCCTCCCTCCTCCTCCTCCTCCTCCTCCTCCTCTTCCCCCCCCTCCTCCTCCTCCTCCTCCTCCTCCTCCTCATCCTCATCCTCATCCTCCTCCTCCTCCTCCTCCTCCTCCTCCTCCTCCTTCCCCTCCTCCTCCTCCTCCTCCTCCTGGTAAGTGCCGATGCCGCCCCATAGACCCATAGACCCGGCCCCATAGACCCATCGCTCTCGTTCGGGCGTGGGCATTTTGTTGTCGGCGAGGGCCATCGAGGAGCATCTTTAATCCTCCCGCTGAGCGCACGGGCTCCGCCCTCTGGACTGTTTTTCCAAGGGTCTGGCGCTGACCCCGGTCCGTTGCGCAGGTCTCAAGGGGGCACGCAGTGCTAGTCAGAGTGAGGGGGCCCGAACGGTCATTCACTGTCCCTGGGTGCGTGGCTGAAGTGGGGATCCACGGCGAGGAGTCTTGTTGTTATTTTGTTGCGTCGTCCCCCCCCCCCCGCTCCGCGACCCTCCCGCGACCCACCCGCGCGCGACCCCCCCGCGACCCACCCCGCGACCCACCTGCGACCCACCCCGCGACCCACCCGCGCGACCCACCCGCGACCCACCCGCGACCCACCCCGCGACCCACCCGCGCTACCCACCCGCGACCCACCCACGACCCACCCCGCGACCCACCCGCGACCCACCCGCGAACCACCCCGCGCCCGCCCCCTCACTCTTATCCGCAATTGCAGGGTATACGCGCGGCATACGTGGTGCTGACCGAAGCGAAAAAGTTCGGTGATCCGCCGCACCTCCACCCCACCGCACCCACCGCATAACCCCGCTTCTCGCCGAAAGCTAAAAATAATCTCCAACGCTATGTTTGCATTTGGGCCAAGGGCTGGTGTCCATGCCCACCGATCCTGGGCCCAGCGTCGGCCTTGCCAGGATCGGTGTAGGTGCGTAAAATGCGCGCCTTCCGAACATCGCTCTAGGTGTTGAGCTATAAGTTTTCTCGAGAGCCCTCCCATGAAGGTCCCAGGCCCTGGTACTTTGAGGAAACGATTCGGGATGAAACATGCCCCCTGGAGAGACTTGGGATTCAGCCCCTCTTTCCCGCAATATTATTCGCCCGCGTGTCATCAAGTGGTGTTCGCTTATGGTTTTCAGGCCCTTGTCAGCCTATCCACCTCCTGCGCCTCTCTCTGTATTCCCTCGTGCGCCGCCACATCGGCTTTCAAGGACCCTTTGAGTTATCATGGCGCGCCGGTGACGGACGCGCCCACGCCTCCGTCAAAGCAAAGAGAGCGTGCTCTCTTCTAGCACGGGCCTCCCTATTTGCACCTCGTGTCTCTGTGTGTCCATACACTCATTCCCGGACAATCCACAGTGGTAGCGGAGCTTGTGGTTGAGATCCACGAGGGGAGTCAGGACGACTTCCTTGTGATTCGAGTCTCGGGCGACATACTCTATAATATTATCCCGTTCTTCCCGCTCTTTACCCCATTGCACCGAGCGCCGCCACGGATTCCCCAGACGACGCTGAGGATTAATGTCAAATTAATCCTCGGTTACAACCAGATCGGGATCCTTGGGCAAGAGCTGGAGGACGAAAGTACCTTCCATGGGAAGGTGATGACAATGTGGGCTGGTCAGAACAGGACTAGGCCCGCTGGTCTCACAGCCCAGGACGGCAACACAGCCCAATACGCAACAATCCTCATCTGATTGGATTGCGCGGGGACGTGGCTCGCCGGTTGCACCAGATCGGTTGAACACGCGTCTATGAAGACAGGCTATGCCTTTCTACCCCTCTTGCTCCGACCTATTGTATTGGGGTGATACCACCACCAGATCTTCTGATCGCTAACGGGGGATGATTTCGTGAACAATCAGAGGCCCGGAAGATACCAAACGATCTACATCCCACCTGGGATGGACAAGATCCGGATACTCATCCAGACCATTTCT